TAAAAACATTAAAAATTGAGATAATTGAAGAGGAGTTTGAACGGTTTAGAACTGCAATAGGGGCGGAAGGCCATTCCTATTTTTGAGGAAGCGAGCTGTTTTTTAAAAATACCATGGTTTTTTCCAAATACAATGATTTAATAATTTAAATAAATTTAAATTAACAAAACTGCACAGAAGTGTTTACGGTTTTCTCATGAATGATTTGAATTCTACTTCCTAATATTTAGAAGCAATGTCTTAACATGCCATGTGTCATTCTATTGTCTTCTGCTTTTAATTATAGATTTGTAAAATCCCTTTTCAAAAACGTTAAAAGTAGGGATGTTCAAACCAAACCCAAAATCCGTATCAAATCGAAAAATCAAATCAAATCGATTAAAAAACCTGATTATGTTTGTTTTGATTTGATTTGGTATTGAGTAAAAAATCGAACCAAACCGATATATAAATTTATAATTTTTTATATATACTTTTAAGACTTTCTATAGACTTTTATTTAAAAAATGACTAGAAATATTTGGGTCGTCTCATGAGAGGTAATATTTAATAGAACTATAAAGTGCATTCATTTTTATTTACATTAAATAATAGATTGTATCATTTTCTTATTAAGTGTTATTAAAATGCGTCAATCATCTCTTTGTTCTTTCATATTCATATGTCAAGATTTCTTATATCGATCTCCTTTTCGAATTTGAAGTGGTATTTCGATAATTTAAAGTTGTATAAAATATATTATTATTTAGGTGATTTTTATGTTTAATTATTAAATTCAGCTAACCTTGAAAGCGTACATTAACAAAAAATTATTGTTAGACGACTGAGGTAATAAACTATTATGTTTTACTAAAAAAAATTCTCCGTTAAGAATTCTTTAATAAGTAGATCATATGTTTGTTTTTTTTTATTTTCACTAAACATATATTCGACTATCAAAATTTTATTTATAACTTTAATAAAGTAAGATTGAAATAATATTCATGTAACAAAAAAACACCAAAAAATTCGACAAAACTGAACCAATCCAAACCAATATAACTTGTTTGGTTTGGTTTTGATAAAACCCAAACCAACCCAATCCATGTACCCCTACAAAGAAAGATCATTCCAATGAAATACTTCATGAAAGGCAGGAAGGATTCTCAGAATATTTTTCTTGAGATGGAAAAGTTGGTTCCCGCCATTTTATTGAGAAAATTCAACTGGTAAATTTTGTGTAGTTTAAAGCAAGGAAACATGGTTAGATGTTATTGTTAACGGCTGCCATTAATCTATGTTTGCCAATTTTAGTTCTTTTCCTAAGTATAGTATCTGAATTGCATCCCAACCGTGAGTTAGTTTATGTACACATGGCGTGAATCTGAAGGCCCATTGAAGATTACTTGACTAAATTCTACTTGACTGGATCTTTTTCCAACTGCTCCTAAGCTCTTTACTCCAATGAAAGTTGTGTAAAGAAGAAGTTAATTTCTTCTTAACATTTGAAAAAATCAAATATTGTGGATCATAAAAATCTAAAAATCATTTAAAGTGGAACGGGAGAGTAATGTGTTGACATTTGAGCTTTACTATTGAAAGAATATCTCACTGGCTTCGAGTTGTGCAATTGTCATAATTCATTGTCCAAACTCTAAACAACTCAAGTTGGCTATTGTATTTTGATTTTCCTTTTTCCTTTACTTGAAATTTGCATATTAACTTATGGCTAATTCTCAACCTCATTTACCGTATCTTAATTATCTTCCCTTAATTACCGGATGATTTTGCTATCTACAAACCAATTCTCTCTATACATTCAAAGTTAATAGCTAATCCAAATCCATTGCCAATCGTCGGAGGCAATTTATCTATCTATATTATATTAAAAGGAGAGTAGTGAAGCATGTGATTAAGCCAAGTGGCAAGGTAAAATGAAGCCACTTGGCAATTTTAAGACAACATTAATTATTAAAAATTATAAATAAAAATATAATTAATGGAAGTAGTTTAATGAATCTTATACATAATCTAAATAGATCTTAGACAAATCTAATCT